GAGAGGCCCGCGTACCGCAAAAAAAAAAAAAAAAAAAAAAATCATACTTTACATCTAATGTTTCACAATTTAAGAAATGTACTTTCCCCTTCTTGGCTGCCTCTGATCTTCGGACAACCCTACAGCACAGGACCGAGACACGACAATTTTCTCTTCTTTTTACAACGGATGTCAGGACGTTGGGAGAATTGAGTTGCATGATGTAGCCAGCACGTAGATCTCCGCATGCTGGCAGAGAAAAGGTTCTTTAAGATACAATCAGTGAAAAAGCAAGGGGCAGAACAGTGACATATGTAATGACTGTCTGCATCCAGTGTGAAAGGTTAGCCACCCAGCTGGATGCTTGGTCCGCCCTGGACCTTCCCTGTTGTACTGCTTAGCCCCTGGGAAACAACCGCCCTAAGCCCCTCCTTCATTTATTCATCAGGCTTTCACCAGATACCAGTCACAATCACTAACTCTTTGGAAGAGCAGTTTGGCCGTCCCTTCCCTGGGGCAACAGTGACCCCCTGGCCAGCCGAGCCTGGCCACCTCTGCCCAGTGCCAGGAAAGCCACGGCCCAGAGCTGCTCACCCGGGCTGGGCTCCGGGTAAGAGATTTGATTTCCAGACCCCATCTCCTCCCTAACTCTGCAAGCGGCCTTGGGCAGACACCGGAGCTCCATAAGCCACAGCTACTGTCGCAAAGGTGAGAGTGAAGGAAATGATGCCCAAAGTGGGGTGACCCCTGGCTGCGGAGGCCCGTCTAGCTGGATGGGCCACACACTTAAAACTCCAAGTCCAGGTCACTTTGAAATGTAGCCAGCCGCCCCCCTCCTTCAGTTCCCAAGTTCTCTTTGTCGGCACCACTGTCCCGCACCCCCTGCCCCCCTACTTCCTAGAAGGAAGAGAGCCAGGTGTGTTTAGCAAAGGAAAGAAGCCGGCAGATTGACAGGCTGGAGGCTTTTAGATGCTATCGATCCGCCTGAAGCCAGTAATTCTTGACCTGGCCAGGAAAGGTCTAAGGTTTAGATAAAGCAGGTCCTGGAGCCCCTGCCCCAAACACTGTCGGGGCGGGGGGGCAGGGGGTGGGGGGGAATCTTCCCTATATCGCCTGGAGTCTGATAAACTGAGTCTCTTAAAAATGCTCTTTCCTTTTTGTCCATCTGGAATCACCTTTTCCTGCCGCCCCAAGGGCACAAAAATTCAAAGAGCTAATCTCTTAAATAGTTCCCTTCCTGCAGATCATTCAAATTCCAGGGAGCTTGAAGAGGTAGGGGCTGCTGGTAAGATACGCCAAGACTGGCGAGAGGCTTTTTTTTTAAACCAAATAATTAGTCTCTTTCTTTTTCTTAATTTTTATTTTTTGGCCGCGCAGCATGCGGGATCTCAGTTCCCCAACCAGGGATCGAACCTGCACCCCCTGCAGTGGAAGCGCAGGGTCCTAACCGCCAGGGAAGTCACACAGGAATTTTTACTGTTCGCTCTTAACAATGAATTACTTAAACATCAGTAAACTGGGACTTTCAAAGTAACAGGTTTTGAGTTTTTCTCTCTTTATTGAAAGTGTATTTTATAGACCTTGTGAGTTCGTCAATCTGCACTCCAAATGCACCCCTCTTACCCCACGGGCTCCTTCTCCAGTTCAGGACACAAAATCTCCATTTGACCTTGTGTTCAAGTTGGAAACATGGGAATGGCCCTCTCACCCACGTGGGCGCCCACCTCTGGGGTCCTCCCCCATGTTCCCCATGGGGTCCCCTCTCAACAGAGAACCTCTGAACCAGAGAGAGATCAGGGTCCTCCTCCAGGGCTCCCCATCTAGGTGCCAGCTAGCTCTCCAACCCCACCCCCAGCCAGCCGCCCTCCACACCCCACTGATCCTGCCCCAGGGCCTTTGCTCTTCCTGTCTCTTCTTCCTGGAATGCTCTTAGCAGACCTGCCTTACAAAACACCGCATCTCTCCAGGTTTCCCCTCAGGTCCCTTTTCACAGAGGTCTCCTATATACACCCGGCGGGGAAACATCCCCGTCCCTGCCCCCCTACCTTGCTTCTCTTCATAGAACGTAGATGTTTTCCAATCTCTCCCAATCCCACATATATTAGCTCTAAGAGGACAGACTGTGTCTCCCAATGGCTCTTGCAGCACCAGGAATGGGCTGGGCACAGAGCAAGTCCAGCACAGCCAATGGCTGCTGAAGGGGCAAACCTGACCTTACCTCAGGTCTCAGCTGAAACCTCACCTCAAAGGCCCCCCACCCCTCATGCAGTCTCTCCTATTCCCTCCCCGGCATCCTCTTTATACCATCAGTGCTTATCAAAACCTGCAATTACGTTTGCATTTTTCATCAGTAACATCTGCCTTGCCTTCTGGTTCAGGGGTAGGCAAACTGCAGCCCGAGGGTCCAATCCCCACTGCTGCCCGGTTTGATAAAGGTTTTGCTGCACGGCCATCCTGCCTGCCTGGTGGAGTGGCTGTGGCTGCTTTTGTGCTACTAGGACAGAGCTGAGTAGTTGTGACAGAAACCGCACAGCCCACACGTCTAAAAGGCCAGGAGGGAGGGAAGGAGGAACAGGAGGGAGTGGGGAAGGAGAGACGGGGGTGGGGGTGGGGGGCAAGCGGGGACAGGCAGCAAAGCACACTGGTTGGTGGTACGGCAGTTTTACTCAGTGGCTCAGTCCTCCACCTTCAGGAGCCTGCCCACTACCTCGTTCCTCTGTGTCCCATCAGTCACTTATAGTGAAACAAAAAAGCCACGGGAATTTGTTGGCTCCTGTTCCCAAGTCCAGGTGTTGCCTGCTTCAGGTGCAGATGGATCTTGGGTCAAGCACGTTCTGAGCTTTCCGCCTGTCGTGCTGGAGCCACGTTCGGCCAGGCCTTTTTCCTCCAGGTTCACTGCCGGCCCTCCTGACCACCCAGCAGAGAACCCCAGCGGGCAGGGCAGAGGCCCTGGCACTGAATCCCACTGGCTGACGGTCCCCCCTGGGTCAGGGTGCATCAGGCTTTGACTGGCTGGGCCTGGGCTCTGTGCCCAGCCCTGGTGTGCATCCCACCCACTGCACACAGGAGCCGGGCGGCTTGCGGGGTGAAACAGCCAGGTACTGTTACCCAAGGAAGGGAGGGCAGGCTAGGCCAGCCTTGGGAAGTTTTCAATTCCATCTCAGGACTCTCTCTGCAATGGGAGACGAGGGATTAGCTTACAAAAATTCACCAGTGCAGCCAACTTCGTTGGTATCTTTTAGTCGCACGTTAGAGATACACTTAATGGACGGGAGAGAAGTCACAAGCCTTTTCAATCTCTGTTTTATGCTTTTCCTCCCTGCTGTGTAAAATGCGTTTCCTATTCATTTATTTCAGCAGCTGTATCAATAGTTAAGAGCTGCAAACGAAGCTGATAATCACTTGGTTTCACACAAGAAAACAGAGACCAGAAGTAAAAGAAGGAACCATCAGTAGTTTTGCTAAATGCCCCATTTATTCTGCAATCAAAGTTCAGAAACGTGGGGACACAAGTGCAGGTTGAGGAATCTCTGTGCAGCTGTCACGTCACAGCCACACTTGAGGGGGCATGGTGATGACGGCGTCTCTGCACAGTAATCCCCCTTCTTTTGTTTAAAGCGAACACGGTGAGGATGGATTACCCATCACCAAACCTCTCTGCTCTAATCTTTAAGAACCAGTGGGGCCTTCACTTGTTCGGCCACCTCCTTGCCGGCCAGCGCCTCGACAATCGCCAGGGCAAACTCGAAGCTGGTTCCTGGCCCGCGGCTGGTGACGATCTGGCCGTCCCTTTCCACACGGTTCTCTGAGTAGCTGTAATGATCTTCGAAATAAAAACAAAAAAGGGTTATGTCCCAGTGGGCTATGCTGGACAGCAAGAACACCACTCAGTAGTCCCATTCCCTTGCAGCACTACTACTGGTCTCATGAAAATCAAAACAAGAACAAGCAAAAAACCCCAGGACAACGACGAGGTAGCCAGTCACTTGCAACCCTCAGGCACTCCCAGCTCTCGAAGCATAGCGGGAAGATACTGAGGCCGCCATGCAGAGCAAAGAGCAGGAGACGCTAACAACTGCTGAAATGAAGCGTGTGAACACATGTGACTTCAACGCAGCTGCAAAAGCCCTCGTATGTGTGAGGGGGATGCCAGAGTGAATGCTAAGCATCCACGTTTCTATTCCACAACACACGCAAGTGTCAATTCTGTGAAGTGAAGGGTAGAGAGTACTCACTCTAAAGTATGACTGCAGGAGTTCAGGAAATGCCACCCCAAAATAGGCTGCTTTGGTATACTGATTATTTTGAGCTAAAAGCACTTGAAAAACAGCACAGGCAGGGAGCGGGAGTGGCTTCCTCTGAATCTCCTTTCCTGCCTAAAGACAGATCATCCAGAAGAAACTCAGAAATCCCCTCCCGGGAGTCTCATCAACCAAGAGAGAAAACTAAAAGTTGACACCACACCCAGACAAACTTTGTCACAAACTATCATTCCTCCCACCTACTCTTGAAGGGTCCCTTCATCTTTCCTAAAAGCCACTTATGCTCCCCTGAGAGGCCTACCTCCCCATCCCCTTTCTCTATTAAGATGGTATTTAAGCCAGAATTCTAAACCATCTCAGGGAGTTACTCATTTTTCCCTGGGTATCTCCCATGTATACATGTTAATAAACTTGTTTTTCTCTGGTCAATCTTTTTTTTTTTTTTTCAGGGGTCTCAAGTAAGAACTCAGAAGGGTAGAGGGAAAATTATTTTTCCTTCCCTACAAAATGCTGGAGGAAAGGGGGATGAGGGTGAACTGGTGTTGAAGGCAGAAACTACCTGTGATACAGACTACCTAGGTAACGCACACACTCGTGCTCTGCTGCCTCAAAATCAAACAAGCACAAACTACACGTAAGGGATTGGGAGCGGGGAGGGAAGCGCAGAGGAGGAACACACTCGTCAGGGACTACTTTCCTCTGCGGCCCCAGTTGGCTGTATTTTTGCAAATGTAATAAGAAATGTGCTTCTCCTATATTCCCAGGAAGTAAACGATACCACCTCCGGGCAAGTCTCAGGGCACAAAGCTGGGATTCCCCGCAGCAGCCCCACAGCTCTCACCCTCCACGCCAGGCAGGTGTCAGCAGACCCTCCCTCCGCGCGCGCGCGCAGCACCACTACCCCATGCAGCCTGCCCCACTGCCCTCTTTCCGGCCCCACGAGGGGCCCGGGCTGCTCCCTCTGCCCGGGCAGCTCTTCTCAGCGACTTGCTCTTTCAATTTCAGCATCAGCAGCAGCCTGCCCCACTGCACTCTTCCCGGCCCCACGAGGGGCCCGGGCTGCTCCCTCTGCCCGGGCAGCTCTTCTCAGCGACTTGCTCTTTCAATTTCAGCATCAGCACCAAGCCCTCAGAGAGGGCACCTGTGACGCTCTCTAAACCAGGTCCCTCAGGTCACTCCATCACAGTGCCCTCCCAGCACCGAGGAAACAATATGTCTCCTGTTTACTGTCTATTCCGTAGAATGCTGAGCCTTCAACTGCCCGTCTGGCCCAGGGTACTAATGGCACCAAGGCGGTGCCCCCGAGGACCAGGTAAATGAAAGAATGAATGAATGTTCCTCCGCCTGCTGCCTTATAGCAGGACCTCTGCGTCCAGCCTCCCTTCTGGCTACCCTTCCCTTCACATTCAGCACCACCAAAACGGGAACCTTTCCAAAGCGCAAATCAGAGCACACCCAGTTCCCCCAGGAGAAGGCTTCGCCAACTTTCCCCAGCACCTTGAGGTGACCCTGAACTCCACGTCACGGTGCACAAACCCCAGGGCCTGGCCTGCGCACAGAGACTGGACCAGAAGGAACCAGAGGGGAGACAGAAAAGAAGCCGCATCCAGGTGGGAGCAAACGGTGACCTGGATGGGACAGCGGCAACAGAGAGGAAACGAAGGTCTGAGATGTACCTTGGAGATAAAATGCCCAGGCCTTGAGGAAAGACTCGATGTGGAGAGACATCAAGGATGACTCTCAGTCGCCTGTCCTGGGCAACTGGGTGGGCGGGTGGTGGCACCACTCAGTGACGTGGGACATGAAGGACACAGGGTCCTCTGTGAGATCCCGCCACACCCAGTCCCCGCAGAGCGAGCCAGGCACGCAGCGCACACACCACCTCTGAACGCCCCCCACCCCCACCCCGCCGAGAACACCTGAGGACGTGGCTCTATCTTGTTCCCTTTTCTGTTCCCAGGGCCTAAGGGAGAGCTCAGGAAATGCCTGTTCAGTGAACAGAAAAACGTCTCCTGGGACTTCCCTGGCAGTCCAGTGGTTAAGAATCCGCCTTCCAATGCAGGGGATATGTGTTTGATCCCTGGTCGGGGAACTAAGATCCCACATGCCGCGGGGCAACTAAGCCCGCGTGCCGCAACTACTGAGCCCGCGCACTGCAACTAAGACCCAACGCAGCCAAAAAAAAAAAGAAAGAAAAGAAGTCTCCCGAGCAAGATGCTTCTGCTGCATTAACCAGCTTTAGAAACCACGTCCTGATGCTCATGTCCTTTCAAAGTGGATGAATAATACCTGCAGTGATTTAGGTCTTCCTAAACCTCATTAAAAATCACGTCACCCACTGAAATAACTGACTACAGTACGTGAAACATTTCTTAGTTACACTTTTTTAGAAGAAAAGTGGATCCCTGGTTTGAGGGCGAGAGGTTTACCTAATCTAACCTCATTTCCCGATGGTTAAAGATCATTTTAAATGCTGAACTAGAAAACCGGCTGGGCTGGGTCTCCTGGAGCTGAGACGGACAGGTCAGCGGGAGGCACGGCTCTAAACGGTTCACTTAACAACCTCTTTGTGGGTAAAATATTACAAATACAGCCTAAACTGGTTAAAGATGTTTAAAGGTTCCATGGTTCTAAGAATCTCAACCAGGAAGAACAAAAGGTCTACTTACGGACCAGCTCCACCTAGTGGCGACAATGAAGAAAACCCCCCGCGCACCAGCCAATTCCCGGCCAACCCGCAGGAGGCATTCATTCCGTTAACTTTAAGCAAACACCCCAAAGCCTCTCTCAAAGCCCGGAGATCAAACACCTGGGGAGGCCAGGGGGCAGCAACTAACGGCAGCTTTTACCTGCACACCCCTCACCTACATGGTCTGGGCGCCACAGAGACGGGGCGTCCCAGAGAGCCCGAGATATTTACTATCTGGCCCTTCAAGGAAAAGCCGCCGACCCCTGAGCACAGCAGTTCTGGGTTCAAATCCAGGTCTGCCATTCAGTAGCTGTCTGACCCGTGAGCCTCCTTTTTCTCTTCTGTAAAATGGGGATGATACCAACCTAACAGGATGATTATGGGAACCCAACCAAACCAAACACCAGCACAAAGTGGTGGTGTCATTACAGCAGACATGGCCAGGTAAGGGCAGCCTGTTCACTGCGGCGGCCCCAGCACTCAGCCCAGAGCCAGGCCTACTGATCTTAACACGATGTTCACCACGAGGATGAGACAGAGGGCCTCCCGGAGGAGACATCCAGGAAGCGATTACAGCTCCACCACTCAGAATGTTCTGAAGGGGCAGAAACTGCAAACATTTTTCTCTTACAAGAGGACTTACGTGTAAGAGGACAGAATGCAACACTGGTAACTTAGGCGTGTGGGGGGGGCCTCACCAGGACAGAGGCGGGGCCCCAGTTCCAGCCTGGCTCCAACAAGTGGCCTCGCCTCCCCAGACGAGGTGAAGCCAACACCTGCCTTGCTGGGCACTGCGGCTGCAAGGCTCGAGATAACACGCAGGAATATACCCTGTAGGTGCCCGAGAGTTAACGATCTCATCTTTTTCTACTTCTGATCAGCCTCAACTTCCTGAGGCGTTACAAGGAAAGAGCCACAAAGATACATGTGCAGATAACGGGGAACATGTTCCACTCCTCCTTCCTTCTCATGTGTCGTAACTACTAAAGGAAGCCCGATTCTGTTCTTTCTAACCCTCCAAAACCCCTCCATTAGCTCAAAGTAAATTAAATCCCTACACTAAAAAATGCCCAGAAACCAGAGCCTTTAAAAGAAAAAATCAATTTTCACAAAGATGGCTTTACTGACAACTTAGTATCTTTCTGCCAACTAAAATCATAGATTTTCCAAGAAAATACTACTCTGGATCAGATTTAAGAATACGCAGAATCTGCAACACCAAGAGTGAACCCTGACATAAACTATGGACTTTGGGTGATGATGACACATCAGCGCAGGTTCATCGACTGTAGCAAAGGCACCATCTGGTGGGGGAAAGGAAGCTGACGGTGAGGGGGATGGGGTGGGGTACTGGGGGTTTAGGGAAACACTGTACTTTTTGGCTTAATTTTGCTGTGAACATAACACTCCTCTAAAAAAATAAGGTCTATTAATCTTTTTAAAAAGGCAGTGAATGAAAAATGCATCGCTTTACTTTGCGATGAAAGCATTAACATAAGAAAAAATTTACTTGCCCTACTTTTAGTTCAGAGAGATAGACAAGAAAATCTATCAGTCGCGCAGCTGTTTTCAAATCCGCTTCTGATACCATTAGTCTTTTATTTTTTTTTCCAACATCTTTATTGAGTATAATTGCTCTACAACGGTGTGTTAGTTTCTGCTGTATAACAAAGTGAATCAGCTGTATGTGTACATATATCCCCATATCTCCTCCCTCTTGCATCTCCCTCCCACCCTCCCTAACTATTAGTCTTTTTATTTAGCCACTGGTTTTTGGTTGGTGGGTGTTTTAAATGGAGTCGGTCACTCCGTCTCCCTGCTGGCTGAACGCCAGTCGAACCACTTTTGGCTTCCAAGTGGGAATTTGTGATTCCCTGCACTTATCCACACCAGCGTGATTTTCCTTTCTCTCTGCATGTTCCAGGGTCTCTGCCTCCCTGTGATATGCACTCCAGGGACAGGTGGCAGAGGAAGATACCACCTGACAAAAGACACTACCTGGTTGGTGCTCTGAATGTCACACTGAGAAGCAGTGGCTACACAGTTGTACATCCAGGAACTTGGTTACGTTGTTTTGCTGTTAATTACACACTGCCTCATATTTTTAAATCTGATGCACATGTCTCTGCAAGCTGTTAACTCTTGGAGGGCAGAGACAATGACGTGCTTTTTAAAAATAATCTCCAAGTGACAAGCAACAATATGAGAATTTTTTAAAAAGTTGATAGATTACCAAAAAAGGTTACAATATTAGGTTAAAAAAGCAAGCTGTAGAATGTAATTACTAGATCTCATGTGAGTAACAATATTAAACTGCAAAGGATAATGAGTATGTGCAGAGAAAATTCTAGAGTTTCACAGGAAAACTTAATAGAAGTTAAATCTGAAAAGTAGAAAGGTGCTGGGGAAGTTAGAGAGAAGAGAAACATTTCCTTTTACTTCACCCCTTTCTGTACTGTTTGCTTTTTTTTTTTTTTTTACCATGAACAGAATTGTTTTCATAAAAATAAATGAATAAAAGTTAAACATCTAGCTGATATTTATAAAAGAAGCCCATGAGCGAAGGAACAGGCCTGCCTGCCACCCGGGCCTCCTCTGGAAGAAGGGAGCAATGTCCATTTTACTTTGGACTGTGGGCAAAAGGGCACATTCCGAAATCGCTATCAAGGTTTAAAATTTACCCTCATGCCGCTGGCAAAGTATTGAGTAAAAATACTCGTTAAACTGGCATTTTGCAGCCACTCCGAGCCAGGCCGGCCTTTGGCTCAGCGCCTGCGTTCCCGTTAGGGTGCATGTCTGCAGACCCACACCGTCAGGGGGCGCACACGTAGACACCCACACCATTAGTCCGTCTCTCTCACTGAAACACTTGCAAAGAAAGTGAGGAACACATCACACCCCAACCCACAGAGAATCCCTATGTACCACTGTCTACCAAGTGGGAGACAACGCTATAGCACAGCTTTCTGAGTAGGTCTTTTGGCACATTACAATATAAGCATGTACTTACTTCCATCCATCATTTTGTCTTTAGCAAGTGGGTGTGTTGTAACTTTGCTTCCAAAACCTATTTCATGAGCCAACAGAGCCGTAGGTCCTAAAAAGAAGATGAATAAAAAGACTTAAATGTAGACACAGAAAAACCCATGTTTTAAAAACTGCAGCAGCAAAAATATTCTTCAAAATCAGGGGCTCTTACCTAAAATACACTTATGATTCTGAAACTAAACACTTCTTAGTATGGGAGGTAAAGTATGTTTATAATAAACCATCTGCTGAGCACATGCGGCAAAAACGTACAAACTTAAAAACACATCAATAACCATTTAATCAAAAATATCTACTTTTATAGCTAAGGAGCAAACAGATAAATAGAACATGCCCCCTCGAGGGACAGGCTGCAAGTGTAACAGGGGTACAAAGGAGGGGGAGACCACGGAGGGCAAAACGTCCTGCCTTACCCTTTGCACATGGAAGATTTAGTTACACTTTAAAGGCAACTAATACTCTCTGAACCCCTGGGCTTGACTGCTATTTTACAGACTAGTTTTATTTTTCTACTTGAGAATGAAAAATTAGCACTCATCCATCTGTCTATCCAAATGTATCAGGTGGTAGGATTATTAAAATGAGCGGGACATTGTCCCAGCCCGGAGGGAGACACCTGTGAATCGCCCACGTCTGAGATACAAAGGCACTGGCCTTTCTGTCTTACAACCACGCCCGTCAGAACCCTGCGCAAGTGCCCCCTGTGGTTCTCTACCTGCCCCCTCTTAAAATGAAGGTTAAGAAAAATATGCTGCTGCTAACTTGAGATTTTTATGAATGGTCAACTTCACTGATAATCACAAGCATATTTTGTAGGTCACAGTCCTCAAATAGGGACCAAGACAAAAAAGTCCCTATTTGTTATCTTAAAACTTTTAGAAAAGTAGTTTTTCTACCTTTTTCCTCTAAGCCACCAAAAAATAACAAAAGAAAAACTTTCTAAGGCCTAATGTCACACCTTCAGGAGAGCACCGTGGCCTTCTAAATGGTTAGGGCACTGTGGTTAACCTCTGCACACTTTAACTCCAGCAAACCCAAGCACTTGCTCTTATGACCTTTCGTTGTACAGCACCGTTCCAAGGATAAAGTGGTTATATAACGGACCTACCTACAGGCTACTCAGATCTTACCTGCTACTAACAGGAAGATCAAACAAGTGATACGTAATTACATAAGCTTTCTGTCTTAACGTCAGGTGTCAGTTTCATACCAAGTCCTCATTTATATCTTAACTGGAAAGCCTCTTAAATATACTTGACGCCCCCTTCCTCCTTACTTGTATGCTGCATATGAGAGCTATGTTTGGTAGCAAATCCTAAGAGTGTGTAAAAATTGAGTAATTATCTCAATTTTTATTTGATGTATTCATGAATTACCTTTAATTCTTATTTTGTAAGATTTTAAGAAAAAATAAATTCCTACATCATACATTTTAAAGCAAATTTCAAGCGAGGACTGATCGTACATGAGGACAGTGAGCGAGGAATTTTTAGGCTGCTCCCTCCAGGTGATAAAATGGCTGCCTGTAACATCAATGACTGTACGGTAAGCTCATAATTACTGCTTGCTGGGGCTTCAGAATCCTAGCTGGAAAACTCGAGGGGACACTTAACTGCTCCTATTACTTGAGATTCCGGTGGATGAAACGTGGCCGAGTCTGCAACAGGGGTCCAGCTCTGAGCAGGGAGCAGAAGGTTCAGGGAACAGAGGGTACAGTGGACAGAATCGCCTTGGGAGGCCCAGAGGCGAAAGCCAACAGCGCCACCGTGTGGTGATGTACAGAGGGAACACCATGCCAGGCAACCGCCCCCAGCTTGCACCTGCAGCCCAGCTTGTCACCTCCAGGCTTCCTTCCCCTGCCCCACCCAGAGTGAATCTCGTTTTATTTTCTTCTCAAGACAGCCTCCCTTCCAATTTCTGTCTCTCCCATTCACTCCGTATTAGGGGTTAAGTTAATATTCCTTCAGTTCAATAAACTTCCCAATTCCTAACTGTGACATTTAAGAGTCATCTTGTTCTCATCTGCTGATTTCAACACCCGAATCCCTCCCATCACTCGTTCCAACCCCGCTGCAATCTCCCCCACACGCCATCACGCTTCTCCTACTTTGTGCAGCACCCAGAGGGGCAGTGCAGGACATTCAACAAGACAACAGGTCACTAGCTCCGTTCACTTTACAATGTGGATGTAAATGACGACAAGGCCTGTGTGTCTTAGCAGCGTGGGATTCAAGTCTGCCTGAACACAAAACCCTGAACCAGATGTGGCTGATAATTCTGCTACTTTGGTGACACAAAATGACAAACTGATATGCGGTTTTTTTTTTTTTTTTTTTTTT